AGATAATTGTACATGTTGAGATCGAAATTGCAATTGCCAATGGGAGATTCCTGAAAAATAAAATTTTAGTGTTGAAGCAGGTTACCAGGTACCAAAAAGAAATAAGGAAATACCAATGTGGTTCGAGGAAATACGTTATTTGATCTAGTGGACATTCATACTCGCGCCTCGTTATTTCTGTGAATGTCCCACCCAGGTTGGCCTATACGCGCATTTCCCAACTAGGAGTGCCATATCGTGACTTTTAAAAGTGAAATGTATTTGGTTGAGGAAGCGTCAGAATTTTAGGAGAGAAGAGAAGAAGAGATTTTCTGAAAGTGAGGTGGTATTTTAACGAATTTTGGAGAAATTCCAGAAATTTCCTAATTTTCGTCGTTTCACCAGTTGTATATGAGTTCATCTTAGGAGCTTAGATTCTGGTTATATTACGCGAGGCGGAGAAAGGAGTGGAAGCTAGAAAGGGCAGAATAGGAGTCGTATCGGTTAGCATTTGCATGCGGTTACCCTCCATGTGGTAACCCCTGGATTCTGAATTTTGCCCTTGGTTCCGCCTCTAGTGCTCGATTTTGCTCCATCACTACTCAGTAGTTTTCCAAGCCATCCGTCCAGCCACACTTGCGAAAGGTCTGCAATTTTCACTGCACTGGTCGCCTGATTAGAAGTTGCCCCCCCCCGCAGCGAATTTCTAGGGTACGTTTTTTTTCGGCTCTCGTTCGACTATTCACCATTGGTGGTCGGAAGTTGTTATTGCAATATTAGTAACTCGAAGCTCAGCTCCCTCGTTTCATGAGGGAACAGAATATCAAACAACGAATTGAAAATTCAAAGTGGAATCAACCTTTTGGGATTCTGCAACTCTTCAACGATGAAGTTCAAAAAATTCCATCCCGAATATGCGAAGAGTCCTGAGTAGAACGCGATGGATACGGTAGAGAAATCTTTTGAGGTGTTTTCGAAGATGTTATCGAATGATTCACGGTATTCTGGCTTGCCTGCAACGAACGCCTGTGAAATCGGAACTCTGTGGAAACGTACTACTTCATACTGTACCTGTCAACAGCAGCACCATTCCGGTGCCAATAATTAACACTAGAGCCAACACTTTTGCAATGGTGAAGAAGTCTTGCACAAACGTTGCAACACGCACTGATATGCAATTGATGGCAGTCATCAGCACTAAAACAAACTGAATGATAATAATCAAGAACTATAAGAGTCATCAGCACTGAAACAAACTGAATGATAATAATCAAGAACTAATCAATAAATCGATAAGTAAGACACTTGGTCTGACCGGTCTCACCAGTTTGTTGATTACATTTACCATCTGATAGCTGAATAGAAACTTTTTATGGGATGCAGATATGGGACATCGCATCTCTAGACTAGCTCCCTATACTTCCTACACGTGTCGCCACAACGACGGGGCCGTTTAAAGGAAGATTCTGCGATAAGGTTGAGATTTGAGTAAGGGGAAAATTACTCACGGGCAATACAGGCGGTTCCCTTACGGGTGCGAACTGGCACGCAAAGGATATACCCCCGGCGCCCAGCATGGCCCTCCCCGCGGTGCCTTCGGCGTGCTGTCGGCATGGTGCACTCCCTCTCGCTGTCTTGAGCTCTAGCCGTTTAGCAGAGAGAGCGTTAGCGTTGAAGAGGGCAGCACCGATGAGAGTCGCATCAATGCGGAAATCAAGGGCAAGGAAGGGGTCCCATTTCTCGGGTTCTAGATTTTTTTCTGGTTTTTTCTTTATCCCGGCACCACTGAATACCTACCTTTAATTTTAATGAGCTGCCTTTTAATCGGAAACTACGCTTTTAAGATTGCGATTTGGGGGACATGCTGGCATTCACAGTTGATACCAAATTTCGACCATTCATATACTAACCATAAGTAATGTGCTTAAAATCGATAGAAAGTTTAGATGTGAACCACTGTACTATTTTCCTAAACGACGACCGCGCCGCAACCGCGCGCGACGTAGATCTTCATTTCTGACATGACGATTTAGGGAAACTGAAGACGTTTTTTCTCGAAACGTGTCAATATCACTATCAGTAGTTCAACGCTGTTGGAGAATTCGAAGTTCAGACGGAAACTTATTTATTCATTCATTTCCTTAATCCCTTAGTTTTTCATTATTCATGTTAACACCTGGGTTTATATGTCTAAGATTGTTTTGAAAGTGAAATAAAAATACAACGGAATAAACAAATGTTTCAACATATTTATTTATAAATAAGTCCAAGAAATAAAGGAAATTACCTATCAGAAGAACAGCGAGCATTTCTGGTACACCATCTGGTGGATCACATTCAGGATAAAATGGACGTAGAATGTATATAGCGAATGTCAACGCCACGATTGTTATCGTACATGGCCTAAAATTACAACTGCACATAGTTTACGTGGCCAGGAATTACAATCCGCTTTCATAATGAATGGGTAGGAAAAAGGGTAAGAGGATGAAGCACCACAGCTGAAGGAGTCCAGTCGGGACGTTATTAAGTGTGGATTCGGCACACTCAATGTGTTTTTGATCCAAGCCAAAGCAGCAGTTTCAGTAATGTGCCATTCTTATTAGGCTTGGCAACCATTAGCGGACCCACGCGGTACTTCACAGGCTTGTTGGCGTTTGGGCATGGTTTCGATTGGCGCTGCTCAACCTCAGACGGTGGGAGGGCGCGGCGGGGATAATGCGCGATATCAAGTATTTCGGTAACCACAACGTAAAGGCGAAATTGTATCGTCACTCCTTGCCGACCGCAGCACCTGCCTTCGACAGATAGATATTACAAAAAAATCAGGGCGTTATGTATGAACACGGATGGTTATCGATATATTCGGCGCAGTCAAAGAATTTATCGTCGTACTAAGGTTGTGCGGTATACCTAGGCTGTCAAGATGTCATTTACTGACCGTATGTTCAGTGTTGGTCACGAATGCTTGTGTTACATATGGTATGCCAAAGAATTTCTTTACGGCAAGTCTGAATCGTGCGCCGTCTTGATGAGTATCACTGGTGATGGATTCCGGAATGATTCGGCGAAGCGAATGGAGTTGAATTAGACTCTTCAAGCGTTGTATCTCGTGCAATACGCCCGCAAATTGCGATGGTTCATATATCTGTGCTTTGTATGATGGATTATTAGTTGCGAAAGAAATAGTACGCAATACTTTCCATTTTTGATTTCTATTTTTACTGTGTTTTTATGCACGAATCCTGATTATTTCAACATATGCTACTGAGGTGAGCGTCCTCAACATTTGTCTTGAACGCTCAGAAAACTTCTCGATGCTCCTTTCCCAAACCCTAGCGGAGTGGGGTCAAGAAAGGAGGCGACCTTACTCTCGAGTTGAATTGATCCCTTAATTATTTCGTCATCAAGATGATGATTTGAGGTATATAATAGATGTCGTCATTTACAGCTCGACCAATGAGAATACGCTACGGGACGTAAGAATGTCCTAGCGCCAGAATTTCTTAGTGCGTCATTCGGATCATTGCGTTCGCTTGATGTCATGAAGAAAGTAATATTAGTCGCGTATACGAAGGTTCTATAGCTGCCCAAAGCCAAACTCACGACAGTTCGCCAGCAATAGACTACCTACAAATGGTGCCAACAACGAAAGGAATTTGTAGTTGAACTTCTGTTCAGCCTACTGGTTATAATGGTGGGTGTTGGGACGCTGCTGACTTCTTATAAAAATATCAAGAGATCGAAAGCGCTGGGGAAGTTGAAACACGCTGTAGCGGTGAACGGCATGCCTATTGAAGCTATTGCAGGTATTGTCGATCGCTGGCACGAATCCATAGTTTTGGAAATATTTTTACTAGACAGTGACTCGTAGAATGAATTTCCATTTTTTTGAATGTTCTTGGGTAACTACTGATTGCAGACACTTATATCCACCTCGTGGATTGAAGCCTGAGAATGCTCTACCATTTGCTAGTCATAAATGTTACCTATGAATTTTTCAAAAAAAAATTTTGGAAAGAGTGTTGCAGAACTTTCTTTCCAACCTAATATGATATGATATATCCTATATCGTCCTTGTGCGCAGGCAGGCGCTGCCTCAAGGCACATAAAATTGCCGTATACAATTGCAATGTTCCACAGAGAGAAGGAGGAAAAAAGAAAAACCAGGTATTGAATCCATTTGAGACGAGGCAACCACCATCAAAAGGATAGAAGGGCAAAGCTTTGGGCACTAATCATAGGGCAACCTTTGACCTTTGACCCACATCTTCTGTTCCAGACAGAGTCGCACTGAAAGTTGGGAATGATAGATCCTGTACAATTAGGTGCGGATGCGATATGATGCGGGAATCAGTGTATTCTTCTGAATTATTCAGTACCAAGTAACGGAGCTTGGAAGCATAAAAGGCTTGATTTCCCTGGACAAGGTTTGTTGCAGGATTCGACTATGGGCCCGTGGAGTAACAAGTAGCGCCACTTGACACTACACTACTTTCGCTAACGATATGAAATCTCACCTGACAACTATCGCCTCGATCCACAGGCGAATAAAAGCCAGGAAAGGCCCAAAGGCCTCCATTATGTAGGCATAGTCACCACCCGACTTCTTGATCAGAGTTCCTGAAATTTGAATACTCAAAAAAAATCGACTTCAAGATCTGGCAATGAAAGATGATTTCGGTGTAAAAAAAATTTAAGACGGCTAAAAACGGCTAAAAGTGCTAAGAACTGGAAGAAGTTGGAACCATTCGCGCGTGAAATTAGAACGGATAAGGAGGAGTGACTCGATGGTGGGCGAGGTTCAGGAAATAAAGTAGCAAGAGCTTTCAAGTCTTCATCTAAAGAGCGTTTGATAGGGGCAAATACCGTTCAAAATTACAGAATAATGCAACAAATAACAAAATTAGTGGTTCTTAATGGGGCAGTACAATCGGCCATCACAAACTTTCGAATTATTGCATGCACTTATCTAATGGAAAATTATACTTAAGATGTAATTCTGTAGAGTTAAAATGAAACACCGATAAACCACGTAAATGGTAGAATGGCTCCAATAGTTCATTTGCAACTGGAAGTATTGCATTTATTCACTTATTGCAACGATCAGGTGCGCTACATTTCAGTGGAATTTAGCGGAAACATGGTAGTCACAGAGCAGTGCCGATTTTCGGATTAGTCATTTGGTGTTGTGAATTTTTTGAATTTCTCACACTTTCTCAGTTCATCAAAAAAGCAGAACTCAGAAATAACGCGATGGGATTTTTCAGGAGGAGTTTGCAGTGAAACAGGTCATGTACTATTGGTATAATTAACCACTGATTTATGTATCTTGTATACAGTTTTACGATCTTTGTATTTCGAATTTCTAAACACATACAGACATTAGTATTCAATAACGAAAAGCAAAACAATTAGATGATTGAAAGCTGAACATGCCCTATTCAGCATACAGATAGCCGATTGCTGTGAAAATTCGACGCTGGGCCAGACGATCGAGACATCGACGGAGCGGCTGCTGCATATCAAGTTGTTTAGGATTAATCTATCGTGCTTCGTGCCACAATTCGTAGGCTTTGTGTTATTTATGCAGATGAGGGTCGATGTGACTTTGAGAGCGATTTCGGCTCGATTCGCAAAGTTTGACAGTCAGCTAAGGCATATGGATGCAAGACTGAAGCTCACACTCGGACTAGAAGCGATCCATCATCTGTTTATCTATTCTGTTCGTAAAGTGAAGACCTCCATTTTTGGGGCTCAGTCTTTTATTATCTAACTGAGATAGCGAAACAGCAACATGCAACTGCCCCTATTCTTTTTTTGAGCAAAGCGTTCTCATTCACTCGTGCTCATAATTTATGGTCTTTCAGTGGTAATTCGTCTCGTATAAAACTGTCGCAATGTCGGCAGCTCCTGCGGCAAAGTTGCCCTATTACATATTCATGTATGACCGATAGATGAGCGCAAAGTCGCCGAATTTAAAGGCACAACCCAGGCAGAGGTTTTATAACTCTTCTCTTCGGTCAGAAGTATAGAACCCTAGGGGACAATCACAAATGTGGCGTTCACGTGCACGGAATTCGACCGACAAGAACGCTTTGGGCTTGCAAAGTAAGCTGCTCGAGCTGCAGCGAACGAGCTCTCTTATCAGGCCGTTGTCTGGTGCTCTCTCATCTGATGCGCTCTCTCGCCCCATACTCTCCTCTTCGCGCTTAGTCTCTCGTTCCTTTAGCACAGCCAATTAGGAAGGTGAGTGAGCCCTCAACCTGAGCGTTTTCGACGGATTCTTTTCCTTTTTTCTTCACTGCCGGCCCACTTGGCACCGATACATTCACATTCGTGTGCAAGAGCCACACCAGTGCGATCCTGGGGCATGCCTTTTAACTTTCGGACCTGAATTTTCCCCGTGGAGAAATTTTTCTTCTAGCTATTGTTTATTACTTGTGAGCATATAGGTATCATTATGGCGAAATTTGGAAAGCTATTCGATCACAAACAAAGAAACTAAGAAGCTTTGAAAATTGGCCCACCTTCTTAGTTTTTAAGCTTATGTCGAAACAATTCGAAATTTCATAGTTATGCCGAAAAAGTTTATAATCTTGCATAACATTATAACCCATAATTTTGATTGAAGGCTTACATCAGTATTTGAGAAAAGTCAGCTCCTCTGTCGGTTGCGGAGAGCCAGCTCGATTCATGTGGCTTGTACATTAATACTTGTAATACTAACAGCAACATGCAATGAATGGCAGGTTTAGCTCATAATTAGGAAGGGGAAGGTTGACTGAAGCAACCTCTAGCGGGATTAGAAAAACCATGCTGTTTCAGCAGCAATGCAAGCGTTTGAATTTGGTGGTGGCAATTGCCACCGCCAGGGCCGAAAGGGTTAAGTACTTACGTGAGTTGTAGTTATTGCTGTCGACGTTTGCGGTAGCCGCAATGAGAATTCTAGTCGATAGATAGATCCAAACTCAATAGCAACCACCTAAGCTCTCGATTTTGAGTGACAAATCGAACGTGTGGCACATTCGTGTAGGCCTGATGATCGACTACAACATTTTTAGAGGGTATCAGCGGTGGCATAAACCAAGACCACCCGTCTGCATTCTCGTTTCCTTCAAATGATGGCTGCAGAGAAAATGGAAACTGGTAATCGAACTGTCCTTCTGCGCATCATGCACCGTTAATGTAGAGGGTTCCAATCAGGACGAAGGCCGAGAAGGGAAAATGTAGCCATTGGAAAGTAGGCGGGCCCACTAAGGTTGCAGGATGATGCGCTTTGCGCAGTGAAGGGCATGCTCCCAACCGCCTAGCAGGGTTGTACCCGTGCCGCTTGCGCCGTTGCACGCCCACCACTTGGCTGTCCTCTCGCCGTCTGACTCTAGCAGAGAGAGAGAGAGCGTTAGCGTTGAAGAGGGCAGCACCGATGAGAGTCGCATCAATGCGGAAATCAACGGGCAAGGAAGGGGTTCCATTTCTCGGGTTCTGGGCCGTTTCTCATGGTTTTTTTTCATCCCTGCACCACCGACCAACTCTACCTTGATTTCTAACAGATTGTTTTTTTTTTGAAAATTCCGCGTTCAAGTTCCCAGCCTGTCGAAGGGCTTAGCTTTCGTCCGAGCTCCCGCTTCAAGTATTTTAGGGTCCCCTTATGCGAATTGGCCTTTTCAGGCCCATAATGAACACTTCAAAAATGCAAAATTCCAAAAAGGGAGAGTGATTTGTTCGACCGAAACAAGGTCCGATTTTTTGGCCATTCAAGTGATAGCAACATTTTTCACCACTACTCCATCTTTGTCCTCTCCAAGGTTGAAGCAACGACAACAAATGTTTTTACGCCAAACGCAGAAATTGTGAAGGTCGTAACGAGGGCGTTGATATGTTGATGTTGGTGAATTACAACCCGGAACGCCCTTAGCTCAATGACTGGAACTCGACACTCAAGCTACACTGACACTTAGCCCTCCTATCAAATTCCCATTAATGCGCTTCTGATTAATTCTAAGGCCATTTCATTTGAAGCTCAAGGACTTATTGCCATTCCAAACACACATGTGATTGGATGTGTTTGATGAAGTCGTTTCATTACTATCGAAATCATCATTTTATTATCATTCCATTAGCAATCTGTGCCATTCCCTAACCAGTATCAAGGAGCCACTGTAATTACGGACCAAGACCTTCAGTATGCGCCATGAAGGTGTTGCAATTGTTAAATCGTAAACACATTTGGATTAGTACGGGGCTTGAATTGCAGTGTGCTTCGCATGGGATGAAAATCGTGAAATTATCAGCAGACATAAATGTGTGCGTCTCACCCACTAATTATTGTACAACCAGTTGGCGTGTGAAGTTAAAATGACTTAAAAAGACTGGGTGTACCCTAATAAAAATGATAGGTAGGTCAGGATCACGAGAGACACTCACAAGCCGGGCACCTCTGCCATATCTTCAAAGTGCGCCACGCATTCAATTTTCTGGCACAATTAGAACACCTCTGGGTGAAACTCGGGTTGGGGGGGGGGGCACGCGATGGCGCGGCGCTCTGTTCGTCTGCTCCTCCAAGGCTTAGTCCACAGGGACAGTTACTCTTTCGCCATTATGTGGCAGTTTCAAAATACGCGCCATCGGTGACTAAGCCTTGGTAGAGCAAAACAGCGCCGCGCCATCGCGTGCCCCCGAACCCGAGTTTCGCCCACCTCTGATTCTTGCTCCCACGAATACAAAAGGAATCGGGCAGGTTGTTCGAATGATTTCAAATACATTACCGAAAGACTTTGGAATCAAGTAGGCGACTTTCGAGGGACCAAGAGTTAGTTTAGTTACAAGGAGTCATCATTGGATTTCTGACAAAGAAATGTTGGACCGTGATAGGTATACTCCCTTTCAAAAAACGAGAAAGCGTCGGGTGCAGACCATACACCACAAGTGACGACGGCCTCCACAAAATGTGTTTTCTGCCAATGAAATGATTAGCCTGTTGCAGTTGTATTCTATCAGTTGTCACTAATTACAACTATCATTTACCAAAAATCAGCTATCACTATGAACCACTACTAACCAGATTTACTTGGAGGCCGTCGTCACTTGTGGTGTATGGTCTGCACCCGACGCTCTTCTCGTTTTTTGAAAGGGGGGGGGGGGTAATATCAGTTTTGGATTGGTGTAATGAATGCTACGTAACGCTGAACCGAGCAATGCCTTTATAAAAGCTGCATAGAACGATCATGTACCCCCTACAAGTACGACGACGTGTGTTTTTTGAAAATCTTTAAAATTATCTTGCAAAAATTATGCTGATTCATGGTATGTAAACGTTCTACAGAGGCCACAGAATCAAACGATTAAGAAAGCAAGGCAAGGCGACCGCGAGGAGCCCTCAAAGAAGAGGTGGAGAGACGTGATCAAGAAGGACCTAAGTGAAATCATGGCCACAGCAGAAGATGCCCTGGACAGAGCAAAGTGGCGACGACTGACAAAGACAGCGGACCCTGCGACTGCGCGGGACTAACGCTAGGAAGAAGGAGACCTAGCGAAATTAGGGAGCTGACTTGACTCCGCGCTACCTCCGTGATCATTACT